TCCCATTTAGAAGAAAGAGAAAAGAAAAAAGACTCTGTGCACCACCCCACCCCCCACCAAAGGGATATCCCTTTGCAAGTACCACTCCATTTCTTTCCTTCTCTTGAAGCCAAAGCCGACTGGGAGAGCAACCTACAGTACAAAAGTTTATCCTCCAACACTGGGCAGAACCATGCCCTTGCTAATATCACTCCTGACCTTCTAACTGCCAGGTTTAATGGGCACGCTTTCCTGTTCTTTCTCGCTTTGGGGGTGACTAAGAAACTCTACACCCTTGCCCAAACTCTACACCCTTGCCCTTGACATTTCTTTTTCCTGATTTCCTCCTGTTTCTCTTCTTTCTCTGTTATGGCCATAGGCAATTCACATAATCTGTCAGTTTCTTGAAATGGAAATCACGGGATCAACCCTAAAGGATTCTTGTGAGAAACAATTCAGTCAATTTATGTAAAGGCACATTATAAACTTTAAAGTGCTATACCAATTGTGGTTTTGTTGTTAGTGCTAAGTGTAATTGAAGTAATAAAATGCTACGGTAAGAGTCTCCAAATGATCTCTGGTGATGATTATGGAAAGATATTTTGTAATAGGCAGTTAGTTTAAAAAAAAAAATAGATCATTATGCTCTTAAATACGTTCTCTTCTTTTAAGTGGTTGAAATACCCCCATCCTGTTTTTGTTTACACGATTAGCTTGCTTTGCAGGCCTTTTTGTTTTTAATTAAAGCAGAGTTACATTTCAACTAGGCTCTTATATGATTCATCTGCACTCTCTAAGATTTTCACAAATAATGTGATTTTAGTGGAAAACAATCTCTGCCTTCAAGGAATTTGGGAATCAAATTAGGAGCTTACTTTAATATAAAAGTGCCTTGTTTTTAGTGTTTGTAAGGAAATCAAGTTCTTAACAAATAATCTGCCTACTGATTTCCAGTGCTTATCTCCAGAAAGTAACTGATAAAAATATTTCACTTTCATTTGGAGATTACTAGTATTTCTTATGCCCTTCCTTTCCCATACGAATCCCTTTTGAGAAAAACAGCATTCTAAGAAGGACGCAGGAGGGTGGCAAGGGTCTTTGTGATGTTGTCCTGCCCCTTGGTGAACTTTCCTGCCTGGCCAGCCCCATCACCAGGCCCTCTTAGCTCTTCCCCACTGTTCCCTTGTCCTGGCCTCTCTCCTGGCTCTCAGCACACTGAAGGGCTAGCTAGCTGCTGATTCTCTTGTCTTTTGACCCAACAGCCTTGTTGGCGTCTCACCAGTGGGGGCCATGTCTTTGACCCATCCCTGTGCCCTGCCCAGACAAGGTAGGCACTCAGTATGTTTGAAAAGGTAAAGGATGGAAGAAGACCCCAAGGCACAGGAAGTTTACCCCTGTTAGAAATGATAGCTTATCTGTTGAATTCCCGATTTTAACCTTCGCCACATCTTATTTTTATTTGTTTAATTGACTCCTCTGAGACCAGGAGCTTTGTAAGGGGAGGGGGGTATGCCTCTTGCTCACCATGTTTCCTTCGGCCTTGGCAAACAAAGGCAGATCTAGTCCCTAGTAGATACTCAGAAATATTTGTTGAAGAAATGACTCCTTAACTATTTCTACACTGGCTTTTAGCTCAGTGACCAAGGACAATTTAAATTCAACAGACTCTTTTTCTGGGCCTGCTGGGTGGGCACAGGGAGGAGGGGCAAGGGTGGCTTGAACTTCTGGAATTCTCCTATCTGATGAAGACTAGATCACTCAAGGCTTGTTGGCTCCCCCCCCCCCCCCCCAGGGTTACCAGATCCTTCTCAAGAAATAGATTTCCTGGAAAAAAAGGAAAGAGGAAGCAAGGAGGGAGTGGATTGTGGAAGGATGTGCTTTGTGTAGGAATGTTAAAAGGGAATTACGTATTAGTGAACAAAGGCCTTTTGTTGAAGGCTGTCTCCACTAATACACCCTGTCTGGTGGAGGCAGATGGAAATAAGTCATGCCAGGATGTATGACATGAATATTCATTAGACGCCTGTGCATAGTGGGATGAGCAGTGCTCTGCGCATCCTGATGGGTTTCTCACCTGTCTGGGGAAGAAATGGATAGAGAACTAGACCTCCCTTGACTACCATCCAGACAGGACCTGGCTTCTTACAGATGGGAGACAAAACAAGAATTTTATTTGCCTAATTTGGATTGGTGTCAAGAAATCTGGGAGACAGTACGATGTCTGGGCAGATGAACCTACAGCAGGAACTGGTTGATTTCAGCCTTCTAGAAACAACCTGAGAAATAGGGGAGGGTAATTGAATCACTCTCTACGTGGAGTTGAATGTGTTCTTCCCACTATTTACAAGCTGCTTGCCAGCCTCTGGGGCATTATCAGGAGATGAGCCACATTAACACACAGAGCTGGACTGGCTTTCGGGGGAAACAGCTGGCTGATCTAGCACTCACTCCCAGCAGCCCTTGACTTTCTCCGCACGCGCTTGCCAGTGCCAACAGCTTGTTTGCTGCTCAACCAGGAGGCCAGAGGGCCCTGCAGGGACCAATATTCCTGTATCTGAAAGAAGTGATTTTCTTCCCAGAAACAACCAAGTGGAATGCGTGTAAAGAAAAGGAAGGAGGGCCCCCAAAGAACAGGAGGGAACCAATTAAGGAACAGTCATGGGGAAAGAAGTTTCAGGAACTTGCCCAACTTCAAAGTGGCAGAACTGAGATTATCCGGGTCATCCCACCTTCAAGCACCACTTCCAAATGTCAAAAAGACACTTAACAATTCTGGGAAGAGGCAAGGGCTCCTGATCCAGCTGAGAACAAGAACTCTGAGAGAGGAAATGCCCCCCATCTTGAGACCGGGTGAGGTCTGCGTAGGAGAGTCAGAGACTGACATCCACCAGTGGAGGTAACAAACAAGACTGGGAATTCAATGGAAAAGCGGGAGACCCCCTCCGTACCTTGCATAGGTCCTCAGATGTGCGTTTCTTGCCTGGCTGTACCCGACAGAAAGAATGTGAGGGGGCTTTACCCCACTCAGTAAATAGATCTCAAACATAGTTGAAGGGGAAGGAATTCAACATTTTAACCTGAAGCCAGACTCCTTCACACCCCATCTCTATATGAATGTCTTGAGAGACAGGAGAGCTCACCACTTTGTAAGCACTTTAATTGTCCAAACCAAGGCTGCCTGGGGGGTCTTCCACGTTCCCACCCCCACATGGAGTGCATCTTGTGGAATCTTCTTTGAGGTGTGGTGAATGAATATGTGCGCGAACAGGGGAGGGCTGGAAGCAGCCCTTTCTCTGCCTTGTGGGTTTATAACTGTAATCGTGGAGTCTACCTCACCTGAAGGCCTGACTCGGGGGGACCCCCAGCAGGGTGGCTTTGAGCCTCCCTTTTTCTCTACCCGCTTGAAGCCAGACCGCAGCCTGGCCTCTCCAATTGCTGCGTCTTTTGGACCCTTTCCGTCTGCCTGATGCTGTGACCCCGAAGTGGTCACATCAGCCAATGCAGTATGCAGAGCACATGCCTGGTGGTGGTGGAGCCAACGTCCTTAGCTCCCCGAGAAGTCCCTCCTGCAAATCATTCCACCTGCCCTCTGGGTCCAGCCACTGTAGGGCTGGCAGCTCGTACTTCACCATGCGGCAAGAGGCCAGAAGACTTGAAAGACGATGGCTGGTGCCTACTGCATGCCTGGGGGCCTCTGCTGGCTAGAAAGGATAGCAGCTCTTGGGCATGTAGTAGGCGCTCAAAGCATACCCTCGGTGACTGGAACGAGCAGCATCAGGGATGGAGCTTCTCATGCTCTGAGCTCTATTTTGGCCACACTTTTGGATTCTTGGTGCCTTCTTCATGAGTCAGTGTTTTAGAATCCAAATGCTTTAGAAATAGAAATACTGGATTTCTAAATTTGGCTTTAGTCCCAGCTCTTCCCTAGGATTCTGGCCCAGAACATGCCGGAAGCATATTAATCAATGGATGTTGCGGTTTCCATAGGCTCTCCCTCTGGCTCCTGAGGCACTTTCGGGCTAGAGAACACTCCATTCAGAGGAGGGAGGCAGTTCAGAAAGCTGGAGAAGGTGTAAGGCAACACAGGAGGCTGTGAGGCCCCACAGGACCAGACTCTCTGCCAACGTGGCAGCCTGGCTATGAGTGTAGGCCCCAGATGAGGGAGGCCGGGGAATGCCAGAACACATGGTTCCTACTCCCAAACCTTTCTTCCATCCCACTTGCAAAATGCAATTCACATTTAGAAAACTGAAGTAAAGACACTTAGAAAGTAGCCTGTTGGGGTGCCTGGGTAGCTTGGATGGTTAAGCGTCTGCCTTCAGCTCAGGTCATGAGCCCAGGGTCCTGGGATAGAGTCCCACGTCAGGCTCCCTGCTTAGTGGGGAGCCTGCTTCTCCCTCTCCCTCTGCTGCTCTCCCTGATTGTGCTCTCTTGCTCTCTCTGTCAAATAAATAAATAAGATCTTTTAAAAAAGAAAAAAAAAGTAGCGTGTTGACCAGTGTGGGAGAAGGTGCAAAAAGAGACTGTCAGAGAGATTTGTAGGAAGGTGGGAGTATGGGCGGGGAGGGGTTCTAGTGAAGCCACTTTCCTGATTTTCAAATGCTTCTCCCTTAGAATCCTTGCCGGAGTGTGAGTGATGCAAAGCTCCTGAGCATCTGTGTTTATGGTGAAAATAGTTATCATTCGTGAGCACCCACGATGCCCCCAGGACTTTGTCCCATTATTTGATCCTCACAGCTGTAGTATAAAGTATGAGGCATTATTCCCATTCCACAAATGAGAAAAATGAGGCTTGGAGTGTTGGAGTGCCTGGGTAACTTGCCTGAGCCACACAGTGAGCAGCAGTCTGAGCCTTGAACTCCGCGTCTCGGAAAGCCACTAGGTCTCCAACCCCAATGCTGACAGTAACGTGGTTCCTTTTACATGACTGGATAAAGGTAACTGGATAAAGGGTAGAATATTCTACAGGCTAGGAATTGAGGGGTCTCCTGTTGACTCTTGCCCCCTCTTTCCTGCTCCAGGCAATTTGTTCTTGGTGAGTCTGGCATCGGCTGACCTGGCGGCGGCCTTGTACCCGTACCCACTAATCCTCGCAGCCATCTTCCATGACGGCTGGGCCCTGGCCGAGGCGCACTGCAAGGCCAGTGCCTTCGTGATGGGCCTGAGTGTCATTGGCTCCGTCTTCAACATCACTGCCATTGCCATTAACTGCTGCTGCTATGTCTGCCACAGCATGGTCTACCACCAGATCTGCCAGCCCTGGCACACGCCCTTCTACATCTGCCTTGTCTCGCTCCTCACTGTGGGGGCCTTGGTGCCCAACTTTTTCATGGGGTCCCTGGAGTATGACCCGCGTGTCTACTCCTGCACCTTCATCCAGGTGGCCAGCACCCAGTACACAATGGCAGTGGTGGTCATTCATTTCTTCCTCCCCATCACTGTCATGTCCTTCTGTTACCTGCGCATCTGGGCACTGGTGCTTCAGGCCTGCAGGAGGGCCAGGTCAGACACCAAGCTGCGCCCGAAGCCCAGCGACATCTGGAGCTTTCTGACCATGTTCGTGGTGTTTGTGATCTTTGCTATCTGCTGGGCCCCACTGAACGGCATTGGCCTCGCTGTGGCCATCGACCCAGAAGAAATACCTCCCCAGGTCCCGGAGGGGCTCTTTGTGGCTAGCTACTTCCTGGCTTATTTCAACAGCTGCCTTAATGCCCTAGTCTATGGGCTCCTGAACCAGAACTTCCGCAGGGAATACAAAAAGATAGTCTCAGTCCTCTGGAACCCTCGGTACTGTGTTCAGAATGCTTCCAAGGGCAGCCAAGCTCCACCTGTGGGGAATGCCCAGCACCCTGTCCAGTTAGACACTCTCTAGCCTGGGTCACTGGCAGAGCACCAGATTCATGAAACGGTAGGAGGAGATCTGCTCCAAGGGTGAGATCGGGCAGCCCGTTGGACTACGCTGTCCTCTTGACGTGACAGCCCACAGTTTGTGGAACTTCATCGGGTGGACAAGAAGCTCGTCAGCACCATGGGTTCAGGCTGTTCAGGGGAGGCCTACAGGTGAGCACAGCCCCGGCCCTGGCAGACTCTCTCGGTGCGCTGGGGGGCTTGGTGCATACTCAGCCAAGGAAGCAACAGAATGAGGACAGGCTTGGGGCAGAAGAAGTCAATGACTTCCTATGAGCTGCTCTCTCCTCCTGCTTGGGCCTCCTTGCTGCTTTTTCTCTCTTCCCCAAAGGGCAGCCAGAATGGATAGCTTGTTGTTGGCAAGTGTGAAAGAATGAGCTCTGTGGTGCTGGGAGCTAAGTAGCTCTGCGGGGGCCACAGGAGGCTGGTATGGTGCAGAGGGCACGTGTTCTCTACTCTCCCTACACCAGCATACACACGCACACACATGCATGTGTGCACGCCTCAGGTATCTGGAGCATGAAGTCGGCCTGGCTCCTCCACCATGTTCAAGCTGTGTGACTTGGGGCAGGCCCCTGACTTCTGTCTCCCTCGGTTGACTCACCTTACAATGGAGATCATGCCAGTGCTGCCTCCCAGGGCTGTTGTGAGGATTCACTGGGATGATAAACTGCAGAGCCTCTGAGGACAGTGCCGGACCCATGGCCAGCCCCCAGTAATCACTAACTGTGTTATTATTCCTACTACACAGAATGAAAGATAATCTTGAAGGAGAGAAGGGGTGACGCACAAAGACAGGAAGTGGAGGGAAGCGAGTGGGAAGGTGTGTATGGAGGTGGGGGAAGGGCACATATACCTACACGCTTTGTATGTGCATTCGCCTCAGGTCTTCATTCAACCCCAAGAGATTTAGCTTCCTTCTTCAGCTCCACAAATATGACTGACTAGTCTGTAACCAGGTCCAGCAGGAGAAACAAAAGGCGTGTTGCCTGCCCTCTTGGAGGTCATAGTCTGTTAATGAATAGTATCGGCTGATGCTCATTGGGTGTTTGCTTTGTACCACGCACTGTGGTAAATGCTTGATAAGCATTATCTCATGTAATCCTTACAAAACTCTTTGAAAAGGGATCTTTATCTATATTTGTAGTAAGAAACTAAAACTCAAAGAAGTGAAATGATTTCCTGAGTTCACAGAGCCCAAGTCTGTCCAACGGCAGCACCCCATTTCTGCCTCACAACCCACACCCTGGAATGTGTGGCAGGAACAAAATGGGGTAGAGTGAGTACCCCAAGTACACAGGGTGCCTGGGGGGTTCCAAAAAGAGAGAAAAGTTACCCCAGCCAGCCGGCCCAGAATACTGACCTCTTAGCGTTATTCTGGATGCTCTCCCTCCCCTTGTCATTTGAGGAGTTAGGTTGGGTGCTGTGCCTAGTCACCTGGTCACGTGGGAGCTTGTTAAACATGCAAGTGCTCTTGGGCTCCACCGAGAACATTTTGAGTGTGGAGATCTGGGGAAGGGCCTGGGAGTCTGATTCTGACCCTGGAGGTCCTTTACCAAACTGTTAGGAATGCAGGGGTTCCAGCCCTGGTTGCCTGCTTATTGGGATCCCGTTGCTGGGTGTGGAGAGTCCCATCCAGGGAGGCCTCCCAGTTCAGACCTCAATCTGAGAGGGAAAGACAAGAGACATAAGCCTCCTCCCTGAGCTTCAGCCACTTTTCTTGGCTCTGCGTAGAGCCTGAGCTCGTCAGGTCAGGCATGTGTTTGCTTTCTGTTCTCTCTGCCTCCTCTCCCCAGACACCAACAATAGGGATTTGCCTTTCATTCTTGACTCAGAAGCAACGGGGTGTCCCCCACTGCTCCCCTTATTTCTATCTGTTAACTCTGAACTGAATGCATGGTAAAGGCTCAGTAAATATGGATTGAAGAAACAAAAGCTCCCTTCAGTGTGCTGGACCCACAGATGTTACCTGATTTGCCAATTCTGACAATTCGCTAACTGGGACATTTTCTTGTTTCCATAGGTTTTGGTGATGATCCAGGAAGCAACAGAATGAAAGGTCATAGGGAGAACTCTAGACATTAGGCCATGTACATACTCATATGGAGTGGCCTCAAGCTACAGGCCTTGATTTTAAATAAAGACACTTTTGTTGCAATATTGCAGGAACTCTATCCATCCTCTACCTCCCCCCTCTATATCTATTAAAGAACTTGAATTTGTAATGAAAAATCTTCCCACAAAGATAACTTCCCACAACGATAACCACATAATTTAACTTATGAATTTTATCAAACATTTAAGAAAGAAATAATACTGACTTTACACACACTCAGAAAATAGAGGAAGAAAAAACAATTCTCAACATATTTCGTGGAATCAGCATAACCCCTCCTTAGAGCATTGCAATGTCATTTAAATGAAAGAAAAATTACACATAAAAAAAAGAACAATTATGTTCCTCACAAACAAAGATTCAAAAATTTGTAATGATATGTGAGCAAATTGATTCCAAAAATATACAAAAAGGATTCTGCATCATGACCAAGGTGGGGGAGGGGGTTCCCTGGGAATATAAGGTTAATTTGACATTTGAAAATTTGATCAGTGTTATTGATTGATTGATTGATTGATTGATTGATTTAGAGAGCATGAGCTGGGGCGGGGGGTGCACAGAGAGAAGGAGAGAATCCTAAGCAGGCTCTGTGCTAAGCATGGGGTTTGATCTCACAACCCTGAGATTATGACCGGAGCCGAAATCAGGAGTCAGATGCTTAACCAACTGAACCACCCAGGTGCCCCTGTAATTTAAAATTTTAACAGAATAAGAGAGAAAAATTACTTCAATATTTGCAAAATCATTTTACACCATTCAACCTTCATTCATGATAAAAAAAATGTGGGGGGAAACTAGAAATAGGAGGAAATTTCCTCAATCTGGTAAAGAGTATCTTTGAAAAACCTCCAAATGATAGCATGTTTAATGGTGAAATCATGGATGTTTTTTTTTCCTTGAGATGAAAAAAAAGATGTTTGCTCTCACCGTTTCTTTCAATATTTTACTGGAAGTCCTAGCATTATAATAAGAAAAAGAAACAGAAGGATGCCTAGAGCAGGTTGCCAGTGAAGTGCATGAGATCTCACGGGGCGCCTGGGGGGCTCGGTCGTTAAGCGTCTGCCTTGGCTCGGGTGGTGGTCCCAGGGTCCTGGGATCGAGCCCCGCACCGGGCTCCCTGCTCTGCGGGAAGCCTGCTTCTCCCTCTCCCACTCCCCCTGCTTGTGTTCCCTCTCTCGCTGTGTCTCTCTCTGTCAAATAAATAAATAAAACCTTTAAAAAAAAAAAGTGCATGAGATCTCAGCTCAGTTGCCTGGGCTTGGGCGGGGGTTGAAGGTCTTCCACTGGACTCTTTATGAGAAGACCCATTATGAAAGAGAGTCCGTTTCCTGAAGTCTAGCTTCCTAAAGGGCTGAAGAGGGTGTTGGATTTTTATTTGTAAGTTATCTCTACACTCAACATGGGGCTTGGACTCACAAACTGGAGGTCAAGAGTTGCATGCTAGACAAGCACTCCAAGAATACTTACATGTCCTAAAAGAAATTTTTTTTGAGTACAGTTGACACACAACATTACATTAGTTTCAGATGTGCAATATAATGATTCAACTCATCTCTACACCTTATGCTGGGTTCACCACAAGTGTAGTTACCATCTGTCATCATACACCACTATTGCAGTATCAGTGCTTGTATTTCTTGATCCTAAGTTTTGCCAGAAAGTGAAGCAATTGAAATTGTAAGTGATGAGAGAATGTGTTATAACCTATGATCTCTTAGGCTAATAGAATAAACAAATCATCTCTTAAAAGTAAAATAAGATAATATAGTTTCAGAGAGGTAATTAATGCTACTTACTTGAAAAATGTATATGTCTTTCACTCTATTGTAATCAATGCTCTTGCTGTCTCTTTTATAAAAATAAGTCTCCAATAAAATAATTGTTGAAAAAAAAAGAAAAAGAAACAAAGGACACATACTGTAAAAAAAAAAAGTAAAACTCTCTTTATTCTCAGATTATATGATTCTGTATGTAGAAAACCTTATAAAATCTTAAAAAACAACAACAACAAAGCTACCAGAATTAGTAAGTGAATTTAGTAAGGTCACAGGATGCAGGGTAAATTTTAAAAATCTATAGTTTTTCTGTAACACTAGTAATAATAAATTTAAAATAAAATTTAAAAACAATACTAATACCACAAAAATAACCAAATATAGGATTAATCAACCAAAAGATGTACAAAGCCTCTCTACTGAACATTACAAAAGATGGAAGAGAGAAATTAAAGAAGACCAAAATCAATGAAGAGAAATACCATGTCATGGTTTAGAAAAATATTATTAAAATACCTATTTTCCTAAATTCATCTATGGAGTCAATGGAATGTCAATCAAAATTCTAGAAAGATTTTTTTGAAGATACTGGCTATCTGTTTATAAAACATATATGAATGCAGATGATATGGAATAACCAAAATAATCTTGAAAATGAACTAAGTTGGAGAACTAACAAGATCTATTTCAAGATGTATTATAAAGCTACATTAATAGAGGCAGTGTGGTTTTGGCATAAGGATAAGCAAATAAATCAATAGAACAGACTAGAATCAAGAAATAAACCCATACATATACAGTCAATTGATTTTTTAACCAAACCACCACCAAGTCAGTTCAATAGGAAAGTAGACTAGTTTGGGGCATCTGGGTGGCTCACTTGGCTAAGTGTCCAGCTCTTTGGTTTGGCTTGTGTCATGATCTCAGGGCTGTGAGATTGAGCCCCGTGTCAGGCTCCACACTCAGCAGGAGGTCTGCTTGAGATTCTCTCCCTCTCCCTCTGCCCCTCCCCTGCTCTCTCTTTCTCTCTCTCTAAAATAAGTAAATAAATAAGTCCTTAAAAAATAATTTAGGAAAGTAGACTTGTTTTAACAAATGGTGCTGGAAAAACTGGATATCAAAAGGAGGGGAAAACCCTCTTCAATCCCTCCCTTACTCCACACTCAAAAATAAATCAAAATAGATTATAGCCTTAAATATAAAAGACATAATGATAAATATTCTAGAAGACTGCACAAGAGAATGTCTTCATGCCCTTGTAG